TTCAGAACCTGGGAGTATAACTAAACAGATACATGATCAAAGAGTGGTAGAACAAGGCCCAAAGTCCAACATCCCAGGTAACGGCTTAAATATTCTTTGTGCTATTGTTATCTGAATGAAAAGATATCTCAGTAATTGCCCTTGCAGCTTCTAGTATTTTTTCAGATAGAAATGACAAAGATACCAGTTTAGCACAAAAGACACAGAATTTTTACTTACACTCTTCTTTCTGTATCAGACTTTTGAGGAAAAATTCCTTTCTTAAAATGTCACAATGGGCTATATGCATTGCTTTTCTCCTGTTCTCAGTTTCCACCTTCTTTTTAAAAATCATTTTAACTGACTAATCTTCATCAGCCAATCTAATCACAGTGGTTATTTAGTAAGAGCCCAAATTACCACCTGGCCTTGAGGTATGCACTATCCCTGGAGAAGGCTGATCTCCTCAGAGGGCTCAGGATCCATGGATGCCAGGAGCACAGGCTCTAAACAATGGAGCGTCCAGACAATTAACGTAAGAACATTTCCCAGGACTAAGTATAAGGAGCCACTTTGGGTAAAAGTGGCACAAAAGAGTGAATTATAAGTGGTTCTATTCAGTTTCTTTTCTTAAAGAATCATGTATTTCTGTGAATCTCATATTTCATGAAACTAAGAACTCTGAAAGACTCTTAAAATAGACTTGCACTTTAGAAAGGGAATTTGTCAGTGAGTTCAGGAAAATTGATAGAATTCTGCACTATATATCTTGTAACACTTAGTCTCCAGTTCTTTTTCTGTTTTATGAAATATTCATGAATTATATCACTATTGCAAGCCATCAACTCCGTTTGGAATTTACAGGCATACATAAGAATGTAAATGGCATACTTTATTTCCTTTTTGCTCTGACAAGCTATTATGAACCTTTCTTTCTATACTGTAGATCCTTATAGAGGAAGTTAGGGTCATTTTAGAGTTAGTTTAGAAAATAAATAAAAATGGAATAAAAAAGATCATGAAACTAACAAACAATGATAAGGTAAAAATTATATGATTGGTGAAGGATGTTAAATATACAGATTATAGTTATTTAAAGACTACAAATAAGGAAATGAAATGCAAACTATGCGGAGATGCCCAGATAAGAAATCACAATTAGACAAATCACACCACTTTTTACCTAAATTCTGAGAGGGATATTTAAATTCTCCTTGCTACTATGTGATTGAACAGAATATTTTAGCATTGGTATACTTCACTTTTATTTTTATTTCTTTAGTTATAAGTTTATTATGTTCAATTTCTCTATGTTTATGATATTTTTTCATGGCACATTGACACATATTTTTGATATAAGAAAATATGTAATATTTTTATACCATGATGAAGCATGGCATACAATGGAACACTCATTTAGTATAAATACTAGCAAATTCTTTCCTGTAAAAGACCTGTGGGAAGATATGTTGAAGGCATTTGGTTATCAAGAAAAGTAATAAGTAAAAGGTTTTAGGGTTGCCTAGAAGGAAAAATGTGTTTGAGGAAGAAACTAGTTCTAGTTGTATTTATTTTCTTTAAAACTGAATATGTGAATACATTCTCAAATTGTCCAGACTCATTAACATATAATAAAAAACAAAGAATCAAAAGCAATACCTTTAATTTGCTAAATGACTAACTTTTACAAACCAGAAATGAACACTTTAAAAACAGTAGGTAATAGGGCTGGGGATTTAGCTCAGTGGTTCTGGCGCCTGCCTCGCAAGCACAAGGTCCTGAGTTTAATCCCCGGTACCAAAAAAAACCCCAGTAGGTAATAAATAAATGTAGGTAAACCTGAACGCTCATTTTTTATGATTTAAAGTGTGCTTTTAGAAATTATGCTTTTAAAAAAGCATAATCATTTTGAACTATGAAATGCAATACCCTTTTGTTCCCCTATTCAGTGCTGACTTATTTTAATACAATATATATGAGTTCTTGTGGTAAACCAGGTATTGATACTTAGCATTCATAAAAAAGCCCTGATTTTTTCTTCCTGAAAAAGTCACTATGAAATAGTAATAGCTTCAAAAATTTTGACAAGAAATTAATATTTTTATTAACGTTTTCATAGTAGCTTATCTAACATGAAGAGTCCTTCCAATTTTTTTCCTTTGTCATGGGAAAAATGTCCACATAAATACTTTGTTCTGGGTTGGGCATAAGGAGTACCGTTAGATTTGCTGTACTCCTTAGCCTAGTTAGAAATGTTTTCACTACAACTTACCAAGAATTTATTGTAATTTCATTAAAGTAGCTACTGAAAAAGGTCAGGAATTTAAGGCTAAATAAAAGAAACAGGCACACGGGTACTACTTAAAAATATTTTCACTGTACGGGGAAAAATACTTCTTCAATTCATCTCCAGTTACTGAGAAGTTGGCACAGATACCTTCTTCTGTGTTGAAGGTTTGAATAGCTATCACAGCATTTTATAAATTTAAACGGGAATTCAAAATCTTTTCTTGTCTCCAAAAGAAAAATAGTCACATATTACTTACACAGTAATTATAGGCTACGCAGCTGCCCTAGAAAGCTTTACTATCCATAAATGTGTTAAGCATGAACCACTACAGAAACCTTATTTGAATTCCATTATATGTTAAGCCAAAGAAATGTCATCCTCCACACCAATTGCTTATACAAGAACAATGGCTACTTCCCTTGTCAAAAACCTAAATAATGTAATAGAATCAATGTTGTTGATTTTGTCTTCAGTTGGCTAAAAGTCATTACTGTTATTTCTCACAAAGTAAAGAGGTCTCTTTCCTCCTTCATTATGCATAAATGAAGCTTATACTAATACACACAAATTTTAGAATTAACAGGCATCTTTGGAATATCATTTAAAGGTTGGGAATAGAAAAAGTACGTCTTCTAACATGATAAAAATAATGACCTCAGTTGTTATACTGCACTGATCCTTGATGTAAGCCATTCTAATGTAACAATTTAAAGCTTACCCAGCCCTTCTGTTTCCCTAATGCTTTAAAACATTTAGCTGGTCACACCGTACTGCAATAGTATAATGCCAGTAATAGAAAACCAGAGCCCAAAGCGATGAAAACATGTTAAAAGAAGTTAGCAGAGGTGAGAGTTTTCAAAATCTCAAGCTTGTTTTTAGATGTCTTGATAACAATCATTCTGAAAATGTAGTTTGTATTTTATTGTTTCACTTGTCAGTATTTGAACTTTGATTGTAATGAATTTGACAAGATTTGGAGAAGTGCATAGCAGCTGAAATTGTCAAGTTTAAGACAATGTCTGTAGTAAATTTGGAAAAGCCAACCTATGCATAATTTTTTAACTTACCATCATTGAAAATACAGACATTTTAAAATGCAACCCACTCTTACAACTTTCTATTTATAAATCTGTCCTCAACTTGATGTTTTTTAACATTTAAAAATTGGCAAGATCATTAGTACTTTTGTTTAGATATCATGTACCCCTGATTAAAATGGAAAGAGAAGTATGCTTCAGTTTGGTGGCCTTATTTCTAAAAGATTTAAAACCAGGCCAACAATGAAAGAGCACTGGAAAAATTCAAGTTTGCCACACATACTGCAGAATACCTGGCCAGTATTTTCTGCAAGATCGTCAAGGTCATGAAAAAAAATACTAAGAACTTGTCACAGATCAGAAGCTACAAGAGAAACATGACAAATGAATGCAATAGCTTATGCTATGGAACTAAATAAATTGCTTGGAATGTATCCTACGGCATAAAGAGAATATTAATGAAAAGTTGGTGAAATCCAAATAATGTTTACACTTTATATAATTATTATATATCAACATTTTTTATTAGTTGTGACAAATATTTTACAGTCAGGTTAGATGTTAGAAATAAGAAAAACTAGGTTCAGAGTGTATAGGAACTCTCTGTTACGTAGCTTACTAACTACTAACTCTTACTAACTCTTACTAACTTACTCTGTTATGTTCCTATAAATCTAAAATTAAAAGTTATTTTAAAATGGACAGTAATTAGCTGGGCATAGTGGAGCACACCTGTAATAACAGCATTAGGGCAGCTGAGGCAGGAGGATTGCCTTTAGTTCCAGGCCAGCCGGAGCTACATTGTGAGTTTAAAGCCAGCCTGAACTACATAGCAAGACTCTGTCTTAAAAAACTAAGGGGGAGGGGGAGTAAATTATTCTCAGTAATCATTAAAATATGTCTTTGATTCTGTAGATAAATGAGAGATTGGGTTTTAGGGTTTGGGGAAGGAGGAGAGGAAACAGATGAAGAGACTCTGTCCAGGAAGCAAGGGCAGGGGGACAGTGACAGGAGGATCCTGAGGACAGATTCCTATGGGGACAGTGATGCGATTTATTTGCTCTCTTCTCTTGCTGTTTTCTCTCCTATCTCGGGGCCATGCACTCAGCTACTTTGAGCAGACTCTTATGAGAGAAGCTTTGGGCATTGAAGGAAGGCAGATGGCATACAGGGTGGAGAAAAAAACATGGAAACAGGGCAGGTGCTGAGGAAGCAAGTGGGGTTGGTGGGCAACAACTTAATCAGAAAGAGGCACTTCTACAAGGGATATGAGCAGAGTAACACCTCAGCAATTGTTGTTACTGAGGGATACCAGACGCAGCAAAAGATGGACATTAATGAGGATGTTCATTGAAAAACTGATGTTGAAAGTCTGAATGACTGTAAAATGGAAACAGCATCTGTGTGGCTTGTATAAAACTTACATGTATCAATTTGCATGTGGTGGCACACATTAGGCATCCCAGCACTAGGGAAGACTGAGGGAGGAGGATCTCAAGACGCAGGCTGAGCATCTTAGCGACTTAGTAAGATTCTATCTCAAAATAAAACAAAAAATAGCCCAAGGTGGAAGTCCTGTACCATGAAAAATAATACAAAATACAGAAGTGTCTGATATGTAGATTTTTGCATCTTTTTCTTTTCTAATTATTCACTGGTCATTGGACCACCTTCAATCCACGTGAGGGTCTTACCTTCCTCTTGGCAAATCTGCATCATCCTTTTTCCACCTCACAGTTGGTTGAGGATCTCCCTGGACCTGACACCGAAATTCTACAGCTTCTTCCTCCAGCACCACCTGGTTAATTGGCCTCCTGAGAAATGTTGGTCGTTCTGGGAAAAAACAAAGAAAACAGTAAAATGAACTGAATGTTCATGCGCTAGTTCAAGGTGGAAAAAGTAAAGGAAGTGTTATTTAATTTTGGTACATAGGTTCATAACTCTATTTCAACTATATCTGACAAGGCCTTGTGTATACAATACAATTGAACAAGATTAAATATTTTTAAACACAGGAGTGACTATGGTTTGTATACAAAACCATAAACCTTATGGAAAAATAGTAAATTTATTTCAGTGAATTCCTGAGCCAAATCTTGTAGATAGCACCATAAAAAATTCAAAACACTGAATTTAATAGAAATAAGGATAGTTTAAAAATGATTAATGTATTACCATCTCTCCAAGTGGTAAAACCAAAAGTCAAAACACATTTAAACATTAAAAAGAAAGTAAAAATTAACATTCCATTAAGAATAGAAAAAATGTGCTCTTCATGTGTTACCTAAAATTTCCTAGTAAAGTTATTACTTAACAAGGATCCAACAGTATTTCCACTTCATGTATATAAAGTTGTCTACCTGGTTTTTGATTTAGTACAAACATTTTCATTATCGTTGCAAAATTTTTAGCATTCTGAATAATTTTAAAGTTCTCCTATGTGTTTGAGATGCTCACTTTTTTTTACTTTATTAACTACTTTTTTATTCAGCATTCTTTTAGAACTTCACTTTATTTTTTTGCTAATCTTACCCATCATTGTTAAACTGTATTCTAGCACCTCTCTACACAAAACAAGATGAAAATTAATTCCTAATCATAAAACTCTTAGTGTCTAAAAGAAATGTAAAACAAAAGTACTTTTATGTATCCCTCAAAAATTTTGTTCTTTGTCCAGTTTCTTTCCTTTTTGATAATGGTATGATATTGGAAAATTTATCATTTAAAATTTATTAGCACATGTCCTGAAATCATAGGCAAATCTAATATTGCTAGTTATTCAACTAGAAAGAGAACTAAGTCAAGGTAAAGAAAGACGAGATCCATAGGGAGTTGACACAATTTATCTGGCCATCTGGCCATATTTAGCCATTTAAGACTAATTTCAAATGTTTTAGTTTAGTTATAATTACAGTGGCACAAAAGTTGAAACATTCTCAGCAAGAAACCTTTGAAGAAAATGAAATACTTAAAGTAATATATGTTAAAAGTATAGGCTAGGTTTATATGGTTGTACTAAAAAAATCAAGGTCCATATTTAAGAAATAAATGTGTAAGTTGCTAGGGAAATATTCTTATGAAAAAGTCAAGGATCACTGGCATTTAGAAAGAAGACAAATGCATCGCTCCAATGAGAATTAGTAGAGTTCAAAACTCAGGCTTGCTTATATCCAGTATCTGCATTCAGAGACTCCAAAACTCCAAGCCATTCACAAAGCAAGCAAATGCGACTTTATAAGGCAAAAAAACAAAACAAAAAACTTTAAGTTTACAAACAATCCATAAAAATTAGAGAAAAGGTTTCTAAGGACTTTAGGTAATCAGAATTAATTAGCAGCAAAATATCTCACCTAAACTACAGAACAAATGTACATAAGTGATGAGGTGATTTATAACTATCCTTTTAAACTCTGGAGACTATATTTCCAAAACAACTATTGTAAAAATAACATATTTGATACTGAGTTACTGTTTCTGGCAGTAAGTAAACAATGACATTATTATATCCTTATGGGTGTTACAAATGTTAATATACCAGATGTGATCTGAAATATGATAAATGCTTAAAGTTGTAAAAATAATTACCATAAAATTGTTGGCAGTAACTCTTCTCTCAAACCAATCCCCATCATTTCGAATACATCCAGCCCATCCTTGTCACATTCGGAAACAGTTCTGGACATCCTCTCTCCTGTCTTTTGTTGTGCTGTCATGACTGCCTCAATATACTGAATAGATTCAAAACTTTGACTTTCATGGTCATTTTCACTTTAAGGAAAAGCTAGAAGCCACAGTGTCAGATGTGTTGAAGAAGGATGGTAAGGGAGGACAGGCTGTGATGTTCGTACAAGCTTGCCTTTCCACTGATGGCACTCACTGCATCTGTGATCATACCTCAGAAAACACTCACTCACAGAGTGCCTTCAGAAAACGCCAAGAACTAGGGGATAAATGTGTTTGAAACAAAGGCAAATATTTTTAGGGGGATTTATGGCAATGTATCTTTTACTATAATTTTTAAGTAAGTTTAAACATTCACTGTAAGTGTTGATCACTCCTTATAGTACAAATCAGTCATTAGCATATTCAGTTGGATTGGATTTTCTGTGCTATCAGTTGTGGCTATTCATCCCATCTATCTAAAAACCTGTCTTAATGCACTGTTTAAAAGACTAAGGCCACTGGGCAGAATGGTCCACACCTATGATCCCAGCTACTTAGGAGGCTGAGACAGGAGGATCTGAAATTCAAGGCCTCTTAGGCAATTTAGCAAGACCTTGTTTTAAAATAAAAAAATAAAAAAGGCTGATGTGATGGTAGAGTGGCTCAAAGACTAAATCATTACTGATACCACATTGAGATTGAAAAAGATTTATCAAGATGTTAACAGTAATATTGTACAATAACCTTGGATGTAGATGACCAAGCTAGAGAAGTCTTTCCTCGTCCACACAGGCATTTCAGCACATTTAGTATAAGCCTGTTCTATGCCAGGCTCTGAGCTTGGTGGGTGATAAACTACTAGCTGCTCAGTGTCACTGGGGAATGACGGGAGGTGAAGCCTGCCTGACAGTGAAAGAGAAGCAAGACCAGAGAGGGCTTGTGGGCCATGTAAGGAATGGGACCTCTGCCCTCAGTCATAGAAAGCTATGGAAGATTCTTAAGCAAGAGATTAAATACTTAATACGCATATGAGAAAGATCATGTTGGCAGATCTGTGAAAGATGAAACAGAAGAGAAACATGAAGCAATATATTAGGTCAAAGGGTCCTTATAAGAACTTATTTCAGCTTACAAGACACTCCTGAGGGTATGGAAAAGGGACAGACTTAAGAGATTAAAATCTGGGTGATCAATCAGATGTGTAGGGAGTAAAAAAAAAAGTCTTAAAAGATTTCCAACTTTCCATTTAAAGGATCTGAGCATATTGACGGGTAAAAATTGTGGGGTGTGGTGCATATATGGAGAATGCTAGGTCTGAGAAAAATCAACTTCTGCTTACTTAACCCCATTGGTCATCACATTTGTCCTCTTTGAAGTCAAACTAGTTCTGAATTAATAAGACAAAGGTCGATACTTATATAACAGAAAGTGGAAAATAAAATAATATCTGAAGATATAGCTTTTTAATTAAAAAATCTAAAGAAGGAATAAGAGACAGTTCTTAAGGGTAATGATTTTTTGTCAGAAATTAAATGCCAGTATCATTTTAAAAAGTTAAGATACTGAAGTCATGTTCACTGAAGTCAGTAACAAGAGGAATATGTCAACATTGGTAATCAGTAAGAAAAAAAAATTGTGAATATTGAAAAAGAATCAAAATAAGCATTATTTATAAACACTGCAATACAAAACAATGCAGAGAAATACATTTGATAATTGATAACCACAACAAAAATAAGAAAAATGTAGGATTGTAGCAATGCTGACAAAATTGGAAAATGAGAGATTTTAGGATACAATCCTAAAATGTATGGCAAATCCATACATTGAAAATTTATTAACTCATCAGAATAGGAAAGCTATTTTTTATTATGGAATATTTTTATGGCCTTATGCTGAATATAAAATAAGCCATTAGACAACACATGAGGGTAGCTGCATTAAAATACACACACACACACACATACACTTTCAGGCAAAGTTTCTCTGTGTTTCTCTGAATATCTACCAGTAATAATATTGCAACATGCAATTAAAAAGCAAAATTGACATTAGACATGTTACAAAACTAACTTCTCTTAGAGCACACTAATAGGGATCTTTAAGGTGGTTTGGATTATCATGCATGTTGTGAGCCTCATTGTTTTATATGGTGACACGTGGAAGCACCAGATTTATAATTTTAAGAAGAAGCAAGACACAGGACCACCACTGCTATCCTGATGAATACAGCAAGAGTGTAGAAGTGCACAGTGTCCTTCTCTCTTCACTTCTGCCCTCAAGCAGAGTCCAGCTGCTTAGCAACTGGATAACCACAGGAGAGTGTGTGATAGAGACATTTTGGAAGCCTCATGTTGGCTCATGGTAGAAAATATATTCAATTGATAGGAAATATTAGATGCTAAGAACAACTGAGATGAAAATCACTTATATATCCATGATACATTAAATGGGTTTCAACTGGAGAAACTTAGGTTATATCTTTCAACAAAGTAATGTGCAATTTAATGATATACTGGAGTTTGTTCACAAATTTTAAAGCATTGTTCTGAGAATTTCCATAAGACCCTTTCTAATATCTCCAAGTTGTAATATTTATTATTCCAATTGTTTTACGTTAATACACTAAAGTCATTTTCTGCTTTGCAACTTTCCTAACTGCTTACAGAACGTAATAGACTAAAAATTGTAATTATCACTAATAGTTTTTAATTGACAAAAAATGTTTATAAGGATTGTTTACCACTTTCCTCAATCTCATTTTATTTCCAGAAAATCTCAGAACTGGAAACATGAATATTAAAGACTAAGGAAGTTATAAAATTGGGAAATATATATTTTAAGTATTTTGCCTTGGTAGTGGCTACTGTTATCATAATACAAATCAGAGCTAAGTCCTTTTCAGACATAATTATAAAAGCTACAAGAAAGTCTCTTGAGATTCCTTTTTTTGTGTCAAAAGTTACAGGGTGAGATAGAAAGTTGATAATAGAAGAATCTATTAAATTGATGTTAGCACACTCAGTATTCATTAATTTCCATAGATTGTGTCCATGAAGCTCTTCACAGTTAAAATAAATATGTATGAAAAATGTTGAACTATTGAAAAACAAGAAAATTTAATTTTAAGGTATGTCAAAATAAGGTCACTAATTTTTTCATGGTATCAC